GTACAGTGGTTTAAAGCACCCTGTTATTAACACAGCTGCCTGCAATTACTGTAGGTTCAAATCTTACCAGGCTCAAGGTTGACTCAGCCTTCCATCCTTTCTAAGGTACGTTAAATGAGGACCCAGTTTGTGGGGGCAATAAGCTGACTTTGTATAAATATACAAAAGTATGAAGGCTATTGCTTAACGCATGGTAAGCCGCCCTGAGTCTCCGGAGAAGGGCGGCATATAAATCAAAAATAAATAAATAAATAATAATAAAAAAAAACCAAGTACACTTAATACGTCAACAGCCCTGATAATCACAAGAACTATATAAGGGCCTCCGGGGGGGAGGCCGTTTTCACCTTCCCCAGGCTCCTAGAAAGCCTCTGGAGCCTGGGAAGAGCGAAAAACGGGCCTACCGGGCCCACTGTGCCATCACGTGCCAAAAGCGAGGGGAGTGCGGGGGTGCATGTGTGCATGTACAGGGGCAGGCCGCATTGAATTATGGGTGTGGGTACGCACATGCGCGACCCCCCGTATGACCCCCGCTTTTGGCATGTGACGGCAAAAAGGTTAGCTATCACTGCTCCATACCATCATTGCTACAAGTTTCAATAGTTAACAATCAATAATTTATACATAGATGTAAATAATCAAATGTTAGAGAAACATTCATCTTACAGATCTCACTTACATTTTACTTTCCCTTCCCACTGAAGTAAACATGAAAGAAAAATGCATGTCTAATAACTAGATATAACAGTCAAAAGGAAAATTAGTTTTAAACATCAGAGCAGCAAGGATGCTGACCTCCAATGAAGAATTTACAAAGGATGCTCTGACAAGCTGCTGCAAACATGTAAATGTGCTACTAATTTTCTGTCTAGGAAGACAATGATTTTATCCATTAATTTGGTAGGCTGTCTGAGCAACAGAAAGCAGATTATCAGAATCTGCATTTGCATTTTTCAGCAACTAATTGGGACTTAATAGGCATTCAAAGGTCAGTATGGTCATCAGTAAATTACTAAAATGATTATTTCTGTCTTACACTGAAATGTCCTTTTGCTTTTAAATGACTTTTTTTTCCTGAGAGCACCATGAAAATTTTATTGGGCAAACTAATAAAAAGCATCACATCATGCATTCATTTTTCTTTCAGTTAAACCACACTTCATGCTCACGCTAAAGTGAGGTAACATTCAATATAGATTTTTGAACAAAAGATATTTTTAACATTTATATGTTAGTATGTTTTATTAACCTAGGTGAAATGTTAATATATATTTCTAGCCCATGCACAATAATAAATTCAATATGAACTATACAAATATACAAAAAGAATTACAGGTAGACCTCACTTAACTATGATAATTGGACTGGCAACTGTTGCTAAGTGACATGATCATAAAGCACAACATCATGTGACCTCATTGATTTATGACGGCAGTTGTGGCAGTCCCAGTTGCTGTCCTTAGATTATTCTGCCTTGTGATGCAGATTAGCAAAAAACTAGCAAAAAAATACCTTCACTAGAAGGTATGTCTACTTCATGACAGCCACATTCTCAAGATTCTAAATACAGGTAGTCCTCAACTTACAGCAGTTCATTTAGTAACTGTTCAAAGTTACACCTGCTTTTTTCAGTAGCACTGAAAAAAGCAACTTATGACAATTTTTCAACTACAATTGAGCCTAAGGAAGACTGTAATTTTAAAATGTATTTTTTTTTCTTGTTTTAAAGATTTCTTTTCCTAAATAAACCAGAAAACACAAAAATCTGGTTGTTACATCACGTAAGTGTGGAAGTTTTGCATGAATGAACTGGGAACATGCTTTGCTTGTAAAACTAATTGTATTCTTTTATCTCTGAATGCAACATTGCTTGGGGTCCCAAAGGTTCTTTTTCAAGAGGCAACTGGCTTTTCTTATTTTTCTTTGAAGACGTTTCGCCTCTCATCCAAGAAGCTTCTTTAGCTCTGAAGAAGTTTCTTGGATGAGAAGCGAAACATGTTCAAATAAAAATCAGAGCTGAAGAAACTTCTTGGATGAGAAGTGAAACATCTTCAAAGAAAAACAAGAAAGTCCAGTTGCCTCTTGAAAAAGCACCTTTGGGACAACTATGACCTGGATGACTGAGAATCTCCATAGACTGCTTGGGATCATTTCCATTTTTATTAGTCAACTTCTATCAGTTCCCAGTGAAATGACAACCATTTTTCAAATCAAAATATTTACTTATTTGCATCCCACCTTTATTATTCTTACAAATAACTCGAAGTGCCAAACATATCTAACACACCTTCCTCCTCCTATTTCCCCCCCAACAGCAACCCTGTGAAGTGGGTTGGACTAAGAGAGAGTCTGGCCTAAAGTTACCCCGCTGGTTTCATGGCTAAAGTGAGTCTTGAACTCAGAGCCTCCTGCTTTCTATCCTGTTGCCTTAACCATTAGACCAAGATGGCTCTCAAACATATATTATCCCCTTTCAATTCAATTATTTATAAAATGTTTCTTTTTTCCTTCTTACTTTTCTACCAATTACCATTTTTCATGTAAAAATACAATAACTATGTACTGCCTAAAATTAAACTCATGAAACTCCTAATGGTAAAAGATAAGATGGAAGTGCTAAAAATGGTAAAGTTCTAGCTTTCCAGCTTATGAAAAAATCTTTTCATTTTATGATCTTAGATAACTTAATGACACTGCTGTTTCAGATTAAACCAACTATGTATTTTAATTTTTAATGCTTTAATGTTTATACTATTGTTAACTGCTCTTATTTTTCTAAATTTTGTTCACTGCCCAGAGTCATTATGTGAGATGGATTAGCCATATAAAACAAATAAATACATAAATAAATAAAGTTGAGGTTATTTACTAAACTAATTACCTCAAGTTCTTCCAAAAAATCCACAGATAAAATTCAGTATGACATTTAAAATAAAAGAACAAAGCATATCCTGCAGAAATTATGATGTTTTCCCTAGTTAAAATAAATGTTTCTTTATTAAAAAGTTAAATCGTATTTCTTTCTATAATAATAGTTTTCAGCTTAATCTCTGTTCAAACATAGTGCCATTTAGCGGCATTCAGCCCCAACAAGCAAGGTATATTTGGAAAGCCCTGGTTTTCCTTCTTGCACATCTGCGTGTGCAAATGGCCATTAAGCAGAGCTGGTTGCTGAGTACCCAGAATGCAATCATATCAGTTGGGGGGGGTGGAATTAACCATCAGAACTTTAATCGGGATTGTAAATACTTTGGGAAGGGATTTTGTTCTAAGCCGGTAATAATTTATTATTATATAGGCACACACACAGAAGGCACGGCAGCAGTGACCAGCATGAATTGCCTATTAGTTTTATCCAGTGTTTCTCAACCTCAACAACATTAAGATATCTGGACTTCAAATTCCAGAATTCCCTAGGCAACATGTGTACTGTACAAACTCTTGAGAAGTACTGATTTTAATTAATTTGAAATCTTTCATCATTTAAGCAAATAGCTTAATAGCTGAATGGTCGTCAAAATGGATTTGTAACTCTCAATTGTACGAAGGAATTATTTCAGAAATGTATGTTAGCATTGGAAAGCTCAAAAGCTACAAAGGAACACACTGGATTTAGTTCCATTTATACAAATGGGGGGGGGGGAACTTTCTCGAAAATAAAACATATGTTGTTATTCCCATAGGTGCCAAAATGACAAATGAGACTTTGAATCTATGGTAATTGTGGGACCTTACTGTTGTTGTCTTTCTTTCAGGGCTTCCTCCCTCTTTGTCCCATAGCAACATATCTGTATTTGCTCTTCCTCTTTCTTTTCTTTCTTCAGTTGCAACAGATCTGCCACTTGCATGATTATACACGTCTTTCTCATGGCAGCTGATCTGAGCTATTGATGGACCCTACTTATGCCAAATGGCTCATGCCAGTTTCTGTACAAGTCTTTCAAAATCAATGGCCTCCTGGTCACACTGCTTATGCTTATGCTGCTCACAGGTCACTCACAATGACTGCATCATGTTTGTGTAGAACTTTTTTATTCAAGGATCCAAAAAAAAAAAAAAAAGAGAGCATTACCAATTACTATATTGCAGCAAACCTTGAAAGTTATGTGGGTTTTGTAGGCACTTTTACCGGTGCCACAGACCGCTAATACTTCACTCTGCTGTGAGTGATTAAAAAGAAACACTAACACGCAGTGATACAACTGAGAGGCTCCTCAATTGAGATTACAAAAGAACTGTGCCTAATGGAGAAAACAGCATGAGTCACATCATGTAAATGGAACACCTCTCTGCTTTTCCAGCTCAGCAAGCAGCTCTGAAGACCAGCTGCTATGAGAAAGCCCCATTGAGATTCCCAATTGAGCAGACCCAATGAGATCCAGTAGAAGCATGCAAGGAGAAAGTGAAGGCAGTATACATATATTGCAGGCATTTAACTTTTACGAAACCCACCCTCACAAAAACCTGTCTACCATTTTTGTGACTGTAAAGAAAAAAATAACGTAAGGAAAAACCACAGATGGAAGACAATCTTTATGCATATATTTAGAAGTGGTTCTCAAAAACTTCCTGTATTACTCAGTCTAGTTAAATTTGAATCCCAAAGGCAGATGTAATTTTGCAAAGCCATTTACTCTGGAATACCAATGGGATTTGTATTAGTTTTTCACAATCAACATTTAATACTGCAGAATTCTTTAAAGAAACAATTTTTTTAAAAAAACTGTATTCATTCTATTTTGGGCCTTCAGATCAGCTGTATACACATAATAAAAAGAAAAAAGCATTCCTTTTAGAACTAGGTTCTATTTTCCTGCCACTCAAAGTTGCAGCTATCAACACAACGATGAGCCCTAGAGATACTTTGACAGATGGATATAGAACAGCAGGTGTACTTTTGCCTCGTCAGTCCATTTAACATGGAGACAATGTCAGCTTGGCAATGTAACAAGTATCTTTACATATTCTGAAAAGAAGAAAAATGTTAATGAAACACTTACGATCAAGCCCGTTGACATATCTCATTGTTATTTCACAGTGCCCCCATACCGCACTGACTATAGGATACAGTTTTTTCCCTTTTAAGCCCCTGAAGGCCACTCCAAGATACTGTCCATCCACGATGAAGCTAAGGGTTCCTTCATCCATATCCAAAACCACCAACAAGGATTCTGGAAGTACAAAAGACTCATCTGGTTCCAAAAACACAGGATAGGTCACTCCAGGCTGGTTTTTGCAGTTGTGGTAAAGTTTGTTCCGTCCAAGGTCCCAGCCCCATGATTCATTATTGCTACCAACCAATGATGTATATCCTACAGAATGCAAAGGGGCTTCTGCTGTTGAGACCCCAACTACAGCATGTGTTCCTCGTTGCCTAGTGGGCCAGTGAATCTGCCAGACATGGAGTCCCCTTGTGTAGCCAACTTTTCCCCTGATGCAATCTGTGCTTTGAGCAACTGGGTGTCTATGAAAGGTTAGTCTGTCATCTTCCTTCACAAATATATTTAAGGATCGATCTTCGTTGTTCCAAGCATGTTTGTATTGGACCTCCAAGTGGGCTGGGGGCATATCCAGCAACATATCCAATCGTGCAGGCTTGCAGAAATCTGGTCCCCTCAGTTCTCGTTTAACTGGTCTATATGGGGGATCCCGAACATCCACAGACTTTATGCTCCCTGAGATTTTTTGGCCCATCGCTCAGCTGCAGATTGCTTGGTTGCAGGGAGTGAAGGGTAAATGTGGGCCCAGTGTCAAGTCATGAAAGCACTTTCAAGCTGAGCCAATGACTCACTATGCAGCAACTTGATTTACTTCGTTCTGGACTCTTTCAGAGCCAATGTTTTCTGAAAACACACTTCTGAAATAAAGCAGAAAGTCACCGGTTAAAAAGTAGCCAAATTATAAACCACATAATTATTCTTTCAAAAGAAAAACAGAGAGGAAAAAAATAGAAGGGGGATTTGTGCCAAGTTGCTTTAAAATTAAGACCTAACTATTCTCAGCTTCGTGGCCTTTGTACTTCAGTCCTCGTTAACCAGACTGTCAGCTGGATATATTGAGTCTACAGTTTAAGAGCACAGACAGTCATTTCCTTTTTTCCACAACAGACAGAGACATTCCACACCTTTTGCCCTTCCACCCAAAGTCTAGTCAAGAGGGATGTGACACTGTACAAACAGCTTGCCCCTGTTATCAGGTATGTATGAGACTGTGTCCATTTTCACTTCTAATTCTTTATTTTACCTTAAAGACATTCTTTATGCAAACTCTCGCTTTTATCTCTTTCTCTTATTAAATCTACCTTTTGTCCCAAGGAGATGCAGACATACGATAGCAAAAAAATCAGATGAAACCACTGTGCCTCCTATAAAAACATGTAAGACTTAACATCTTAACAATTAATATAGCTTTCGAAAGAAGGGCGGTAGTACTTTATGTAGGTGTTTTTTGATTAGCCAGTCCTATGAATTGTTTGATTTTAAAATTAGAAGCAAAACTACTAAGAAGAAAAGGAAGGAAGGAAGGAAGGAAGGAAGGAAGGAAGGAAGGAAGGAAGGAAGGGAAAGACACTATGGATGACTGCAGCTGAAAACCATTTACATATAGTTGCCAAGAAAACATGTAGTGATCAGTAGCTGAAATCAGCTCAAGGGAGTCTTTATCTTTCTATAAGACTGGAAGCTTACAAAATAGAATAAATATTTTATTCCATAAAAGTAGATGGATTTTATTCCATAGAAGATTGTACAGTACGTTGTAGGAAATACCATCTGACTAAGAACCTCTGAACAATATTATGGAACCCATATGTTCAAAGTTGTCGTAGTATATTAGGCTAATCTCAAATGAAGAATGGTTTAATCTTACAATCAATATTTTAAGATAATTTGCCTTGCTAAAGAAAGTTGGCAAATGAAAAGAGATAATTGTTAATTATCCTGTCTTTAGTAACCATTGATGGTTCAAATTGTATGTCTTAAATAGGCTATTTTTAAAACTGATTCCAAAAACTAACTGCCATAGCATTTGTGGCTGGTTTTTTTTTTTTTTTTTTATTAAGTTGGAGTCCAAATCTTTATATTCTAGGCCAATTTATTTGGTTGGTATGGTCAAGAATGATAGTAGTTGGGATTCAAAATATCTAGATGATGTTATACAAAGTGAGGTAATTTAGGATTATTTTCCAAAAACCTGAGAAAATGTGATCAGTGATTTTGAAGTGAGCAGCATCTACTGTATTTTTTTCCTTTCTACTCAATTCTCAGAGATTGCTTGGACAAGTTCCTGCAGTTTTCTTGGCAAGTTTTTTCAAAAGTGGTTTGCTACTGCTTCCTTCCTAGACCTATCTGCAATGTCTGCAGCTGAGATCATGAAGAATTCCCCTACATTACATGACAAACTGCTATTTTTAAGATTTCACATCTGTCCTGTGGAAAAGGTCACTTTTAATTAAGCTATGTCCCATCCGAAGGCCTATCTCTTTGCTAAAATGTTCTCTAATATTTTTGCTTAGCTCTTAACGAATTGGTGTAAGAAAAAAATAAGTTGTTCAAAATATTATAGGTGAAAAAATATTTTTCTGGTTTCACATGTATACCCTACATAATGGAGAAAAATGGTCGGGATAACAGCTCTGTTTGCACATAGCAAAGAGTAATCAAAATTGAAGCAGGAAAGAGAGTGTTAGTTTCATTTCCCAGTGTTTTTCATTGAACTGCCAAGATATTAAATAGAGCATTGTCAGTACCAATAGTGAAAGTGGAACCTTGGAAAAATTAAGTTGGGCAGACAGTATTCCACTATTGAAAATGCATGCTATATTATATCACAAGAACATCAGACAGAATACATTGAAAGCAAGTGAGATTATCATTTTAATTGTGAAGAAAGATCTGACTATGAAAGTAGTGACAAAACTAAAGAGTATATGATGAATCCATATTAAACAAGTCAATAATATAGTTCTGTCCTCATTTGCATAGTTGTCCAGGCAGTTTCTGAGAACTGGACACGAATAAATGGAAGAAAAAATAAATTTAAAAAAACAGTCATGTGTTCACATTTTGGGCATTTGACAACCTGTGCACATTTACAAGAGGTTGCAGTGTCCCATGGTGACATGTTGGCAATTTGCAATTTTTTTGCCAGTTCTCAGATTTGCTTAATAACCGTGTAATTTGCTTTGCAACTTAGATGACCTGCAAAAATGGTTGTAAAATTAAATAATTTCACTTAGTGCCTCAAATTAAAACAATGATTTACAAACAAAATTCCAAGTTCCATTTTGGCTGTAAATCTAGGATTATTCCTACTGTATTTACAGTATACGCTTCCCAATATTCTGTAATCTAACTCTCTTTTCTTTCAGAAAAGAAAAACTTCTGGAACTTAAGAAATTAGCGCATGTACTGTTGAAAGGGTCTGGACGAGGTAAACTAGAACCTGCAATATTTTAATTGGGGGGAGTAATTTGCTGCACTGTGCTTAGGTCAAGTCTTGTCTCATGTTCTTTTTCTAATCAGTCAAGTGACCTCTCTTAATGCATACATATGCATGTATTAATACATATGGATATGAAGGTATTTTATATATAATCTTATTAATCTGTTATCATTTTAAATTTGCTTCAATCTTTTTTTATATAAAAGTTTTTCTTAAAAAAAAATCTAATGGATGGTTGTCATCTTGTGATCTGCTCAGAGCACTGCATTTCCATTTACAAATTTAACAACTAGTTTCCCAGGACCTAAACAACTTTTGCAGTTTATTTCCTTTACCAGGAATGATTGCATTTTAATATTTAAAGCTTGGGGGATGCAAGTGGTTATGCCAGTAGAAACTACCCTGGAAGACAAAATGGTAGCAATAGAAATTACCAACCTGCTATTGCAAAGCAGGAAGCATTGCCTGAACGCAGAAAACTCCTGGAATTGCAGTTTTAAGGCTTCCTATTTTTACTCCATCAGATTTAGACATTCATTACAACACACCTTTGCACTAGCATACAAACTGATTATTGTTTCAGTCTCAGAAGCTTCTAAAACAGGGGGCGTTACATGCAGGCCACGCCCACCCCAGCTTCAGGAAGAAGAAAACTGTCGCGATATGTCACGCAATGTGACACTGCGAGTTTGACGCCTGTGGTCTAAAACAATTGATTTCAAAATAAATTATTAATACATGTATCATGTAGTCACTTGTGGCATGATATCAGATCAAAGAGAAAAGAGAAAAAATAAGTGTATACAATCAGGATTGACTTAACTATACTGTATAGGCCTATTTTAGTTGATCATACTTATTTTTAAAATAAACATGCTTTCATTCAGCAGAACATCTGATGAATGTTAAAAAAGTTAAACCAAGTTTAAAAAGGTAAAATACCTAAGTTTTTTACAAGCTCATTTTTTAAAAATATGGAAAAGCTAGATTAATCCATATAGAACAACAAAAGCATCCACTAAAAGCTGAGTAGAAAGCAAGGTTGCTAGAGAGATTAAACAAATAAGCAAAGACAAAACCTTCAGGGTTTTATATGTTCTATCTGAATATCTGTTTTCATTGAAGAAACTGGCACACACATGTAAGCAAGACACAAAATGAATTAATAGTTCTACCAATTCTATTCTGAAAACAGTCTTATATAAGTCATTAAGAAGCACTTGCAGGAGCCTAGACAGGTATTTGTAGCACACCAATGAAATACACTACTAAAATATTTTAGGAGCTGCACATTAGGATTGAAGACATCTGGAATTCCAGATGCAGATTGTGAGGTAGGGAAAAATAATTTTTGTGCTTCAAAGAAGTAAACCCTTTACCTAAGATTTATCAGCATATTTTTTAAAATAATCCAGTTAATTAACTGCAAGAATAGAAAATGCTGGAAGGTATATATAATAATTTTAATTAGGCTAGGACAATAGTATATGCACCTTAGTTAAGAGTGATCTTGACATCACTGTTGTGATGTCACTGTTGTCAGTGTACCTACTTATCAGCACAAGCCAAGTAAAAGCAGCATAAAAATAAACATAAAAATCTTTATATTTACATCTTCATTGTCTAATCCTTTACACCATTGTACAATAGTTCCTAAATATCACAAGAAAATTGGACCCAATACTAAATGTGTGAATGTACATACTCACAATGTTCGCTGATATCTGTAAAAACAAGACAAATATCAACATTATGGATACTTTTCATCTTAACATAAGAATTGATCTTTGGTATAATCTACTTTTCTTTACTTGGTATAATTTACTTTTCTTTATAAGGCATTTTTTTAAAAAACTTTTTATATATCTTCATTGTTTTATGTCTTGCTTAATTTATCAGCTAATTTGAAAACATAATTTCATTGTTTAGAATCATAATTTTGCATGATCTTTCAGAAATGTATAAAGTACTTAAAGCAATGTAAAAGATCATCATTTACATTCAATCTGGGAAAGCCTAATAATTTAATTATAGGAACAGATGAATAAAAATAGGTATATAAATCCTTGCTATTTTATTGTATTTCAGAATGGTTCTTTGCTCTCCCTGGAGCATTAGTACCTGTATCATAAAGAATACTCTGGGAATACAGAATAGTTCATTCTAGCTGAGAATCACATTTGTTTAATTACTTGCAATTCAAGTTTCAAATATCAGAGCAAGTATAATTTCTTCAAGATCTTACCTTTAGGGACAATAACAAGAAAAAAGTATACAAGAAAAAAGTATACAAAAAAGAGTGACCAATATATTTGCATTACAGAGACATTCTGTAACACTAGGTAGAACTATCAATTTAAAAAGATTACAGGATACTCCCTTGGGGAAAGACCTTGCAGGCTAAATTTTAAGGAA